TGAAGCATGTCTCTGCCCTATCCTTAATGGTTAAACACTCAGCACACCGAATATGTCCACTAAAATGAGCACAGAAGGATCAAATGTGTAATTATTTACCATACTGACAACACAGGTAGGAGCTACAAGCTCAGATACACGTGTTTTGCCGATCTTGTATCGCTGCCTGATGCAGCTGCGAGGGGTTCGGATCATCAGTGGGTTCCTTAACCTCCTTCATGTGTTTTCTGGCAAATGAACTCCAGTTTTACTCCGCTTTGTTTAATTTCCGAGGAAGCTAATACGCGAACTTGGAGTAAATCCTTCGGAACAGATTTTTTCAGACACGGTCCAAAATCCGATATGAATATTTGAGTTGAATTCCATCTGATAATACGGACTAACCACGTAATATTCACGAACCGTCAACAGGCAGTCAGTAGTGTAGAATTATGTAATTATTTGCCATACTGATAACACAGGTGGAAGCCAAAAGCCCGGACACGCTGGGGGACCCACTGGTGAGCCGAACCCCTCGCAGCTGCGTCAGGCATCGGCGCAAGATCGGTGGAACACGCGTGTTTGGGCTTTTAGCTTCTAGCTGTGTTGTCAATACGATAAGTAATTACCCAGTTGTATACCAGACGCTGTCTGCTGGCGGTTTTTTGAATATTACACGGTTATTCAGCATTATCTGGTGGAGTTCCGCTCAAATATTCATATCAAATTTTGGACCGTGCCTGAAAAGTTCTGTTTCGAAGGATTTACGCCAAACTTCGCCCACTAATTTCCTCAGAAATTAAACAAGGCACAGAGGGATCACTTATTTCAAGTTCACGACCTAACACACCTTTCTTTCATCATCTTTGGGCATTAGCCGTCTCACAGTTTTAGTCGGGACGCACGGCCTTTATGTCGAAATCCGCAACTCCTGTGAGATTTGGCTGTTCTTCTGTGAGAATTTTCGTATGTAGGTTTGAAAACAACTGCAAAGCTCGGCGAACGATTGGAATGAGGCTTGGAGCGAGAACGGCAGCAGCCGTAGCTGCACAACAAAATCTCGAGCAGGACAGGGAAGTTAAGAAATAAGCGGAATGAAAATAATGGCAATATTGACAATGTCTACCAGCCAAAATATAGGTGTCCATGTTTCAGGGACAGGTAGAGTAGGTCCTACTATCGAAAGGGACTCAAAAAATTACTGCACTTTTGCCGGATCCATAATAACAACTTTAAGACTGGCTAAAACTTTCAGTCATTTCGCGAGATTGGACTTTCCTGTCCAAGCTTATATTCCATTTACAATGTGGCTGAATTTGTATCGGGAAGACCGTTCAACATTCTTAGAAGTTCCAGCTCCTTGTGCGCAGTCACGAGCAGCTAAAAATGCAAAATCGTCTCTTCCGGTCTGCTGAGATCTTGATGATCCAGCGTTTTCTAACTTTATGATGGCTTCGGGGAGGATCCAAAAGCAGTCAGAACAGATGAGATTTCCGCCTCGATGTGCGCCGAACCTCGAGCTAGCTTTCGTCAACTTTATTTCTACTTGTGGGAATTCCATGACCGTCAAATTTTCACAAGAGTATTTGTCACTTTTTCTGTCGGGTAGAATGAGGACGCGATTGTTGACAAGCTGTTTGAATCCAAAGCCGACAAGAGGACCAAGGCCATCAACGCTGAACAGCTGATGGAGATCCTCAACAAGAGCTCCCTAAAGAGTGAGTTTACTTGAAATTACAAAGTTTGCTTATTCTTTGACATTTGGTCTGACGGGAGGACTTTAGGAGTCGTCTTCTACCCTCGGCCAGAATCACATTTTTGCGCTGCCCGCCTGCACTCGAAAACCTGTAGAGAACAATAACCTAATTGGTTGACGTTTAGGCTTTGTGTTACCCTGTGGTGGTGTTCGGCCGTAGAACCCATACGAGAATTTGAAATAAAGAAGTTGGCCGACGCGCGGTTTTGGTCGTCCATCGTCAAGCCTGTTGTCATGAAAGAGCGGTAATGGTGGCTTGGCGCTTCGACCGTCGTCGCCGACGATCTCCACCATGTGCTCCACAGCACAGAGACATGCGCGTGAATTGGTTTATAGTGGCAGTAGACCTCAGCCACTGTGTTGGTTGAAATCCTGGTTATTGTTGTGTGGACCAGGGGGTGTGGTGGAACGCCAAGGTGAGGATCCGTCCGAGCCATCCACCTGCGGCCTCCCCCGTCTCCGGTCTTCTTGACTCTGTCTTGACACCGGGCTTGGGCGAGGGAGGAGGAGAGAATGCAGGTAGATGCAGCGCAAGTCTACTGGCACTATAAACCCCTGCGCAAGTCACCGTCCCTGCTCCCATTGCTGCTGTAACTGTGGGGCACACGGTGGACATCGTCGAAATCGACGGTCGAACTGTCGTGTGTGTGTGTGTCCTCAAAACGGGCCACGTGTTGGACACGGGGCCACATCGGACTCTGGCAGGCGTTATCTTTGCGCAATAACAAATGCCAACATTTGCGGGGTGCGCTGGCGGACCCTGTTGTCGGCATTCGTCGCACAACTGGACCACTGTCACCACCCCATTGATTTGTGGTCAAAATCCTGGTCATTTGTGTGTGGACCAGGGGGTGCGGAGTGGAGCGCCAAGGCGAGGATCCGTCCGAGCCATCCACCTGCGGCCTCTCCCGTCTCCGGTCTTCTTGACTCTGTCTTGACGCCGGGCCCAGGCGGGGGAGGAGGAGAGAGTGTAGGTAGATGCAGCGCAAGTCTACTGGCACTATAAGCCCCTGCGCAAGTCACTGTCCCTGCTCCCACAATGCAGTCTGTGGGGTACACGGTGGTCATCGTCGAAATCGACGGATGAACTATCAGTGGCAGTAGACCTGTACAGCATCCACCGCACTCTCACCTCCTCTCGCGCCTAAGCTCGATGTCAAGATACAGTCAAGAAGACCGGAGGCGGGAAAGAACGCAGGTGGCTGGCACAGCTGGACCCGCGCCTCGGTGTGCCATCAAACCCCCTGGTCCACAACAAACACTTGACCAGGACTTAAATTAGTAAAAAAATGGGTTAGAAAGAGAGGATGACTGGGCAACCATGCACACGGCCTGTATAACTAGTGGGAGCTCATACGCATCCGCCGGCAGGAAACCAGGTGCCAGAGAACTGCCGGCGCTCACCAGACTGCAAAGGCCATGGTCTGCTGATCATGGCATAGCGGACGCACACAATCCATAAAGACCAGAAGGATGGTGACGCAGCCTTGCATTTAGCCTGGGCCATCACCCTTCACAGGCCGAATAACCAGTCAGTCATTGAGTGAGAGGGACTACCCATATACACACATTCCTCACGCATGTGAGAGTGCCAGGGGTCACGTCAAGAGGGAGCCGTTGCAGTTTGACTCTCAGACCACACATGCCTTGTGATGAATAATCGAAAACGGGCATTTGCCGACTTGCGTTTATTCCACACATATATATAACAATCTCTTCAGGGTTTTCTTTCCACAATGTGTTCTAATAACCCACCTGCCATTCTCGTCTCGCTCGCTTTGCCATTGTATATGGATGCCTTTTGATAACTCAGATGACTATATTCTTCTTACCGTTAAAGGTCTCTGTACGGATTCCAAGGGCTTCAATATGGAGAACGCGCGCAGTATGTTGGCAGCGATGGACGTATCCTTTTGTTCCGCTATTCTATCGTTTTTTTTTTGCTCAAGCAGTTGCAGGATCTGAGCGACGATTAAATAGCGGTGGTGCGAACCACCTAAAGGCTTTCAACATAAATGAAACCACAGCTCACTCTTGCTTATCCGAATTTTGTCTTGGCCCGGCGCGCAACCTATCTACTATGACATTTTAATTATTTCTACTGATAAATTATAAGTAAACGTTTTATACAGTCATTTCGCGCCGAAGGATGTTAACAATTGGTCTATTGGTCGAATCGATCGATTAGTTTCGAATACTTAGTTCTTTGTTTTACTGGTTTTCTCACAAAAGTTTATGGGAAGCTGTGTAGTTGGCCAGGGCCGTAATGTTAAGACGAATTTGCCTTTTGTACAATTACATGTGATATACCAGTTTTCCTGAACGATTCTCATTCGGATAGAATAACCTAACCGGCAAGATGGAGTATGACGAATTCAAGGATCTCTGGGAGTGCTGTCAGTGCTGGAAAGTAAGTTGGATAAAACAGAATACATACGCTGTTGTTCATAGGGCTGATTTCACTTAAGATTAGGAAAAATAACTAGATGAGAGCATGAGCCGCCTGCCATAACTGGTGCCCTATTCGGGGTTTAGAGTATTATTTTCGTGGCGCATTCAATTTGAGAAGTGCTTTCATTAATTTTAGCGTGTGCTTCCTTTAATGCTCTGATAGCGGAATATGACGGATCCCTTCCACTTCTTCTTGGATCTCAGGTCTAGATCTTTTGCAGGCACTCACATAGAGACAGGTAATCAACATTTGAAAGTAAAACAGGCAAAGGAAAGATGGGCCGAGGTCGAGACCTTTCTGGGACATTTTCTTGCCTCAGTCAGCTATATCCCAACTTCTGACTCCGAATGAATGTCCTACCTTTGCGATTCGAGGCAAAGGAGGTGTGAACAGCTGGTAACGGCCAGAAAGACAAGACTTCCAT